GGGGTAATCCAGCCGGCGATTACTGTCTTCGCAGGACCCAGGCACTATCATGATCCACCCAAGCTGCACTGAGGCTTGGTCTCAGGGTAACTCTGAGAAGGGCTAAGCATATCTTTAGTCCAGTCAGCCACTGAAGAATTCACCACAGACCTCCAGCTGCCTCTCTCACACTGATGGGTACAAGTGCAACCTCCCAACAGCCAGTTTGAACATTTTTCCAATAACTATCTCCATGGGCTTGCCAAGCCTTTGCAATCATCAGTCACAACCATTATCATTATACTTTATGGTACAGAAATGAAATGCCACCTTTTTACAAAGCCAAGAAAATGTTATTGATTTTTTTCTTTTCAAACCAAGCTGTTGGCCTGACTGACTGGCATGTTTATCAACCTGCTCCCTACCCACTCCTTGTAGGGGGCCTGCATTAAAGAGTTTGCATTAAATCCAAGGAGAAATCTGCCAGCAACGCTTCAAGAACGAAATGGCATGACACATAAGGATGCACAGCTATATATAAGGCTGCTATCCTTTTAACATGTTCTTCTGTCTTCCAGGGAACAAGATTGTTCTTGACAGCTGCTAATAAGAACTGATCTAAGTAGCTGCACCGCTTCTGCACACATCCAGGCAAAGACAGCATGTAGGCCTGTGGACTGTGGGAAATGTGCCTTTCTGAAATCAAAGAAATACACAGCTCTGAAATTACTGGCAGTCACCCAATTAATTTACTTTTCATAATCTCCCCCACTGTTTACTTGCACTTTTACTGCATTTCTTTCTGAATTGCTGGGAAAAATGTTCATATACTATAGGAGATGACCAGTCCCGGTCATCTGTCTAATATTTCGTTTAGTTTTTGTGGGTTTTTTCTAAATAATCAAAAAAGTAGTTGGGCTCAAGTTTCTGCCAAGTTTTATCCCAATGTGACTCAATTCAAGCAACCCAGAAAGCCCTTCAATAGCAAACGAAGAGCTGTCAATCATGAGGTACTACACAAGTTACATAGTTGGGTACGGTTTGTACAAAATATGCTGCTTATTTTTTCTTTAAACATGCTGAAGTGGTATAGGGCCCTTGTGTTGGCTCTTCACAGACAACTTTTACCCTCTGGATTGTTGAAAATCCACATCCCATAGAAGACAGCAATAAGCACTGAGATCCCGCATTGTCCTTTGCAACAGAACCACTGAGAAGCAGCAGTGGGCAAATCCAAAATAGGTCATTCAGCTTCTCCCCATCAGCTCACTGCAGGGTATATTGTCAGTTTAATTTCTTCATTTAGTTCCTTCTGCTTCCCATAACACTGCTTTCAAATCACAACAGTATATGGGAGTAGGATATGCCAGCTGGCTTTGCAATTTTTTGTACACACAAAAATCCTGCCTTCAAACAAGATTAACCTTCAAGCAAAATTAAGATACACACAGCACAGTGTAGTGGAGAAGAAGCCACCAGCATACAGCACTTAGGAAACTGACAAATACAAGGTATGCTTCACTCTGGTATCTCATAGATTTGTATTAAAATTTTCACTATGACAAAAAATTGTTCCAAAAAAAAAATGTATGGAGAGGCATGTAGGTAAGCTTTTACTGGGGAAAGAGGGTCATACAGAAATGGATTGCCTCCTGCCACTGCTAAAGAATAAAAATGTGTCTGAAGCTTCAGGGTGAAATACTGAAATCCCAGTGTATTTGAAACATCAGCGGTGTTTCAGGAGTATGATGCCATACTCTCTGAGTAGCTGTCCTGGTGAGGCTGAGCTTCCTTTTCTTACTCAGAATTATACTTTTAATCTGATAATCATTTTCTGCTTGGTAAATACAACCTATCTAATTTTTTTTTAAGAAAGAGACAATAACAAAACAAATCCTCATTACCAAGCAGAATGATTGCACACTTATTTTCACAGTTTCTCTAGTATCTTCCAGTTCTTTCTCCCAGGGCAAATCTAGGCCAAGCTCTTACAAACTTTCCCTGTTGAACAGGGAAGAGCATATTGATTCTTTATTGCCATCTAGTGACCAAAGCTATTTCCACTTCCACACCAAACTGGATTGCAAATCTGGGGAAATTTGAAACCGACGAGAGCAAAAGACAAAGGAAGCTTGCTTCTCACCCTTAACTTTGTGCTACACTATCCATATCCCATATGGACCCTCGACCTCAGATTTGCACTAAGTGTAGGCCACTGCTGCTTTCATACAGACCTTTGACTCTGCAAATGAACAGGTCCTTTACCCTCCCTCTAGAGCTCAGCAATTTAGAAAGAGGTCATTCTGCAAAAATGAATAGCCTTGTTTTGTCCCCAGGGAGCTCACAGAGCTTGGGAACAGGGGTCACCTTGCTGGATAGGGTAAGCACAGCGCCTCCAGGACCAGGGTAACATTTGATGTAGCTGTAACAGGCATTTCCTCACCTTGGGAAAAGGAAGGAGTCAGATTGTTTTCAGGTGTTTTCAAGATCCTTCAGAGAGGTATTTTCAATTTTCTGGGGGCTCACAAGTGGCTCTCTTCTTGCTGAGACAAACTCCTAGCAGCTAGCTCTCATGTCTGCACACAGGGCACCAAAGCATGCCACAGGAAGACTTTAGGAGTGCTACAGTCCTTGGACACTTGGCTTGCTGGTCTCTTTATCCAGATGCTGTCGTCTTTAACCTAGCTGGGAGCCTGAAGTTATTAATTACTGAATGGTAACAGTGCCAAAGCAATACAGTAACCACGAAGTGCTGCTGTGCAGCCTGGGAGCAGGACCGACACACTGGTGAGGCAGCACCTGGTTCTCCTCCTCCCTCCAAGGCCCAGGTCTCCAGCCATGACGCGGTTTAGCTCATGCCAGTACCACCAAAAGCCACACGATGACACTGCAGCATCGATTTCTGAAATAAGCGCTGCTGTGCTTTTTAGAGGCAAGGAAATACCACTTCTTCAAGAAGCTAGGCCTTCACACACACCCCTACCCCAGAAAAGGGTTGTAAGGATAAAGCTGGCCTTGTGCTCTAATGTAAGTTTTGTGACACTTTTCAGACACAGCCACTTTGGTTCCTGTCTCACAGTACAAGATGTGACCCCATGGCTGTCCTGTGCTGTCAGGCTAACCCATGACGGAGCGTGGCGTTAGTCTGCAGCTGTCCTGTGATAACAGGACTGGTGCGAGCACCATCCCCTTACCTGCCTGTTCCTGCCCGTTTGTTGTCCTGTCTGGTAAATTGGGCTGTTTCTAGGTGCGAAGCATCTTCCTTTGCATTTGGGCAGTAAAGTTTTCAAAGTTCCTTTTCAAAAGGGATGAAAAAGCTTTCCTGTCTTTCTCTGTATAAAGATTTAGATAGTGGAGCATGAGCTGCCTGCCCAGTTTGTCTCCAAACTTGGTTTACTCATTTACTGTGGACTCTCTTCAGACCATGTTATGTTTACCAGCCCTCTTCAAACAGACTTTGAAGAACAATAAAGAAAGAGTTCCTGGGAGGCCTGCTAAGTCTAGCTTTGCTGGAACCTATACAGACCCCAAAATACACAGCAGAGTGAGAGAGCTTATGCTTGTGTGGAGATGCATCAAGTCCATTGCTGTGATGTGTATCAAAGAATAATAAGAATACTAAACTATGTGAAAGTCTAACGAGTGCAGAATAGAAGAGGATAAATTTATGCATAGAGTGATAGGGCCTTAATGGACATGCTTTCACAGCCCTTTCCTCTGCCTCCAAATACAGAAAATTCTGTTTCATAGCACCATGTTCAATGTTAGACTTGCTTACCAGAAGTTCAGAACAATTTTTTAAAAGCTTAAAATAAACCTCAGTGAGAGCGCTGTCTTAGATTGTGTTTGAAAAATCCCTTCTTAAATGTGGCCAGAGTACTCCTGCAAGCTTTCAAATGCAGTTCACTAGACCCTGATCAGCAAAACATCTGGGACAGACAGGAAGTGAAGTTACGTACTCTTGGCCTTTGAGTAGCAGACTTTCAGATTCAGATTAATGAGGTCTGAACGCATGTAGGAAAAGCTGTTGATTTTGCAGTCTCTATGCTGCAAAGGTTGAGGGAGCCTCAGAAGTCATTGACACTTGCCAGGCCACATGACCAGCCGCTGTCCCACTCACAATGCTGGCACTAGCCCAGTGGTTGGAAGTATCTACTCTTGGAACATGCATTGGTGCATTTCAGCTCAGTCCTGCCCATATAAATATGCCTACAATATGCATAAACAAGCCTTGGCCCTTGCTGAATCACTGAGAGAGTTCATGAACTTGGCCTGACTTTGCATCCCATGTGTGCCTGTGCATAAATGATGCAGATATCAACAAGTTTGGATCTGAAAAGTAAGATGTTACTCAAATTATAGGTCAGCATATGTACTCCAGCTATCAGTTTGTAAGATTGAACACTGCTAAAGGTGGATGAGAGTAAAATGGCACCTTATAGTAAAACTGTGCTGTTAACATGTTTTGGTATTTATTGATGTACGATGCCAAGCAGCAAAGGCTGCTTCATAAATGTTCACAGATATTAGCATAAAGCATCCACTCACTCTTAATGTTTAACTTTTCCACCATTGGGCTCTATCAGTTTCCATTTATATCAGAAGATGAACACCCTCAGTTATCCTTGGATCTGTCTGCAATCTCCCGTGCTAGCCCTAGGTTCAGTGGTTCACTGAAGTGAAGGAGAGCAGGATTTAATGTTTTTTAATTTCACTGGGCCATGCCCTGAAAAACACTAAGGTCTCAGCTCTCAGTGAGGGCAAGGGGAATTGGTGGCGCTCAACATGACAAGGAATTCTGAATTCCTTATTTCCTTCTCTCCTCCAGCACAAACATTTTTAAATAAGCCGCTCTCTTTGCTGAAGCGGGTGGAAAAAGTACATTCCTAAGGCAAGCTTACACAGAAATATTTGAAATTACAACAGCTGTTGAGCCCCCATCACTTTTACAGTTTTCTGGTAAAACCTTTTAAATGCCTCTCTTGATAAGGAAAAAAATCTGAGTCACTCTTTGTTCTTGATCCAGAGTAGCAAGTCACTTTTATTTGTCAATAAAGCTATCACACTTTCAGTGCCTTTTGCTAAAGCTGAGCTGAAGGTTCAATCTGAAGACATGCCTCTATTTTCAGATGTAGTCATGAATGCTGTAGAAAGTCTTCTGTAAAACAAACAAAGCCCAGTTATGACTGTTTTTAAAGTTTCAGTTTTACAGCCTTCCTATGTCAGCACTCAGTTGAACAATATAAAAAACACACAATGCAAGTCAAATAATCTGTGTAATTACCATGTACTTACTTTTATTTCAAGACTAGAGTACTGTAATTCAGAACTAGACAAACCCCCTATTTCTCACTTTGGTGTTTTCTCTCTTTAATTTACCAGGAGAGGAAAGTTTTACAGGGAGAAGCAATACCTCATTTACTGAACCAAGTAGAAAAAGGACAGATTGAGAACAACGGCTTTCAGTTTCACTTAATTAATTGGACTGAGAGGAAACGATACTGCTTAGGAACTGAAAAGCAGAGGGGGATGTTAGCAAAGAGAGAAGTGTTAAGATGCACAGCCTGTCTGGGACAGGGTGAGGAAAGAGACTTACTTACTGCCTGTGGATCAGTGCAAGCTCAACTGGAGGTATTGTCTGGCATAATTATATCAATGCTTCTACTGAATATGCAATTTTTACTATGGAGAAAAAATAGTTTTACTTCTTGTCTTCTGAAACTTCTTTAAGTCTCCATTCATTGTTGGAGCAGACAGACCTGGGACAGAACATCTGTGAAATCTTTTGTGCTGATCTCTGCTTACAGTAGGGAAGCTACTGCACTGTTCATAGTAGTATAATTTGAGAGGCAAAATATGCGTTACTCTGAGTCAAGAGAGTGAAAACATACTGGCTCTGAAGCAATGCTTGCTTAATGCAACCTCATGGGAACCCACTGTGTGTTGGAATCTAGACAGCTTTGTGATATTCTTGCTGATCTCCTTACAGTAGGGAAGCTACTGCACTGTTCATAGTAGTATAATTTGAGAGGCAAAATATGCGTTACTCTGAGTCAAGAGAGTGAAAACATACTGGCTCTGAAGCAATGCTTGCTTAATGCAACCTCATGGGAACCCACTGTGTGTTGGAATCTAGACAGCTTTGTGATATTCTGAGTATTAGCTTTTCTAGATGCACTTCCTCTGCAAAATATCCCATTGTTCCTACTAACCCAATGTAGAATAATCCTGAATGATTGATTCTATTCTAAATTTCTGAAATTCTGCAGTACCTTTTTCTCCATGGCTTGATTTTTGTTTCATCCTAGCATTTTTCAAAGATGTCAAACGTAGACATTTGATCTAGAAAAGTAAGGAACAGTTGTATCAGAGGATAATTTAACATTATATTCAACATGCAATCATATTCAGTAGGGAGGCAACTGGGCCTCTTTGTTGGGATGGAAAATTATCTAGAGCTCCATCTCTGATGCAGCTGAAATATAATCATACTATTTGCTTAGCAGGAACAGTATCAGCCTTCAGCAAATAAGGGCAGTTGCTGAAGACTTTCCAGGATTTGAGCTTAAAATTAATGGCTTGAGTCATGGTTATTATTTTCCTAAAACTCAAGCAGACTATAGGCAATGGATCTTGTTTGTGTAGATGTGAGCATAAATAGTCAATGGAATTAACAAATTCCACGCTTTACAGAGAGGGTGCACCTATGGCCAGCATTTCAAGAAGCTGTGGAATCCAGAAATGGGCACTGGGACCCCAGGCAGTGTGGAGATAAGTAGTGACTCTGTAGGTACGGCCCTTTGTATGTAGAAGGCTGACTCCAATGTGTCACTTCTCACCTCATGTTTCTGAAGGGTTGGAAGTGGCAGAAGAATGTTGCAATGGGCACAGGTCACCAGCATGTCAAAAGACTGGGTGTCTTTAAGAGCTTGAGGTGATGTGGAAAGTCTGCCTCTTGTGGGAGAGCGAAAGCCAACCTTTTTGTCCTTTGGGGGCTTAAGCAAGGTTTTGGAGGTCAATGGCTGGTCCCTTTCTTTCCCTTTGGGACGGACATCTTTCCACACCATTGCATTCTCGGAGCAGGAAGAGGGAGCCAGGGAGGAAGAAGACTGTGGTGGATCACTGCTGAGTTTTGAAGTTGACTGGCCAGCAAGAACTTTTGTCATCTTATGGGCTACACTGCATTTATTCTGTTAAAAGAGAGCATGCATAATAAAGTGAAGATTGGCATTACACCCAACTGTGTGATATGCTGTGATCTGTGACAGACATGAGTCACGGGGAGGGACAGTGAACACCACCTCACAGTGATGCTTCAGCTGAATACATTGTATCATGAAACTATAGTTTGAAGAGCCAAGACACACTGCCCTTTCTTACCTAATATATAGCTTTTCAGAGAACTAACCTGGCTGGAAATTAAGCACAGACCATTCTCTTGTTCAGTTTCAAATGTGCTTACCAGATGCTGGGAGTACTGGTCATCTGGGAATGACTTATTGCACTTCCGACAAAGATTGCCTCCAGTACCTTCAGAAGGAAAAAACAATTGAGAGAAACACAGTACTGACACTAGTCATCTAGACAGGCTGCTCAGATCCACTTATGGTCACTGGTTCTAGAGAAACACAGAATGCTGATTCCACTGGCCAAGAAGGAATTAGAGCTGTGACTACATTTTGCTTTTGGCACCACTCAAAACCAATCCATCATCCCTTCTCGCAAACTTCAGGATATTTGAAATTCTACTCCAGCCCCATGTTTTGTGGCTCAAGATGCTTCGCTCCTACCCTGGCCTAGCTAATTCTGTTGCTAAGGGGTTTTGCTCTCTATAGTTTATTTTGCCAACCATTGCACCTACTGATGCCTGTTCTTTTCTGGAATCATTGACAGGATTCATGAATTTTTTGTCTTGACATACTCTGTCTAGTACCTTAGGCCTAATAAAGCTGCTCTCAACTTCAAGAAATCAAGGTGTGCATCGCTGGCTTTATATATGAAGTAGGAGGAAATTCTAAATCGTATTTTCTCCTGTGCGACAAATAGAAAGAGGAAGAAGTGCCACTTATTTTCTGACAGAAGAAATTTCACTTCCAGGATATAAGGCAGGCATAAAAGAACATGGCCAATGAGCTACCAGTCAGTGGAACCACTCTGGCTTTACAATAACCAGCATAATAGAAAGCAACACTTGGCCCTTTCACTGTGGTTGGTTAAACAACAATCCCCTCTATCCTGAATTACTGGGAATTGTAGAGAAGGCAGGAGAGTTTTCACTGAGATTTAACAGAGTTGACCCAGTCCATGACAATGAGGAATTTTGCTTACCAGTGGGGCAAATAAATGTTGCATTAGTGGATGCTTCACTGGTTTGAAAGTTCACATCCTTATGATAGGACAGAGCACTGTTCTGACAAATATCTTTGTGTTTGTTCTGGTCTTTGTACATGATGTATTTGTTACACTCCCAACACCACTCTGTTCGGCTGGCACAGGTGTTCAGGTGTTCCTGCAGCTTGTTGAAGGGCATTTCAAGCTCACAGATCTTGCATTTCATTGCTCGTTTGTGGCATTCCTTGGTCTGCACATGAACAGAGGAAATTATTGCAAATTTTCTATCAATACTAAAAGAGGGCATTGGGTGAGAGCAACGAGTGACAATTTAAGAATGCCATCCTTAAGGGGTATCTACACAACCAAATGCAGGCTTAGCTGTATTAGGAGTTCGCCTATCTAGGCTATGTTTAATTTAGGATGATTTCAGCAATATAAGGCAAAATGGGAATCAATAGCAGTGAAGATGTTCTGTGTCAGTACAGGTTAGCAACAGAGCACAAGCCCACCTAGAAAATTCCAATACTTCAGCTACCACCACCAGGGGAAGCCTGCTGTGTCTTCACTGCTTTGGTTCCTTGAAATGGTTAGACTACAGCTAGCATGGACAGGCTGCTCTCACTTCCCAGCCTCTGCCAATTCTTTTGTGTATCTCCTCCTTAGCTGTTTCCTTGACTCTCACTTTGTATAACCACTCCTTTGGAAAAGCAAGTAATGTGAGTGTGGGGGCAGGACGGAAATGTCTTTGAGAAGCCCTCAAAGAATATCAGCTTGAGGTGCCAAGGATGAGAAAGTAATAGATTATCCCCTGGAACAGACTGTCCCATCACAACTGGATGGGCAACCACCATGAGATATACTTATTTACAAGGGGGAAAAGGTATGCCAAAACACTGCAACTGTTGAGAGGTTTAAGTTTCTTCATGGTCCAGGACAGGAGTCAGGGATTTACATGTTCTTGCTGTTGAACCCATTAGTGTGACTCTTGGTGGCTGGTAAAAGGGGTCAGCCTAGAAGGTAAAAAGTACTGCACTCCATACTTACCTCATGATGCTCCAACTGGTATTGCTGCATGCTTTGGTGACAAAGATTACATCTGACCTGCAAGCAAAACATAGAGCAGTTCATTGGGAGCATAGGAGGATGGTTAGTGCTTTCATATGTCAATACAACTTCAAGCTGCTGAGATGATCTTCCCGTCATTTTCATCCCAATCATCGACAAGCTGCGGGTGAATTTTTGTTTCTCTGTCAGGCCTGAGCTGTGTTGATGAGAATTTGAGGAAAACAGTTATCTGATGATTCTGCAGGAAGCTGTCATTCTGTGCGAGGATCCAGTTCTCAAAGGTGCCCATGTGAAATGCAAAGTGTGATGTGAAATAAAGAGGGTGTATTCAAAATTTTGACTGAGGTTTAACTTGAAAGTATAGGTCTGATATTCAGCTAGTCTAAATTATAATAGCCCCTCTGAAAACATAGGAGGTATGCTAGTTTTCTATAGGTTTGCCACGAGAGCTACTCATGTGTTCTGTTAAGTAACTGAAATCAATGGAATTGCTAAAACAATAAAACTAGTAAGACAGAATAAAAAGTCATGCCTGCATATTCATGCTTCAGTATAGTACCTCTAGCTACAGGGTTCTTAACGCTATATTAAAAATGCTATTGCCTCACTATATGAAGAGCTGATAAATTTACTCTGCCAGTTCAGTTTTGTAAAAAAGTGCATTGATGTCATAGCTTTGTACAAGCAAGGCTTATGTCAGATCAGGTACTGTCTGTCTTCCTCTAATTAAATCATTTAACTTGCGTGCTCTGGCTAATTCACAAGCACTAGGAGTATGTATCCATACCTGATCTGTAATTTGTATTGCTGGGGAAACTGAGATACCACAGTGGAAGCTTTATTTTCTTAAGCTGAGTGTGCACTAAGATCAAAAGGTGCTGTGACCAGGCCTGAAGGGTCATATCAGACCCTTATAGATTTTCTGGTCAAACAATTACAGAAGTTCAACTCTAGTTAATATAGAGCACAGCACCACGAATGTACTACTTCAGGGCTGGCAGAGCTTTTTGCTATTTGCAAGAAAACCCTGAAGAATGTGTAGCATTCCTTACCTGCTTGTGTGCTTCTGTTTGATGGTCTTTCATATCCTTTTGGGCAACTGGTTCATCACATTCTGGACAAAGAGTGAGAAACCGCAAGCAGTGGGCCTCATGGAGGGAGAAATTGGCAGCAGACACATCTCGTTTACTACCGAGCACATAAATGAGAAAGAGAGAAGAGTAAATGAACTGGTGTGGTGGGTTGACCCTGGCCAGCAGCCAAGCACCCACACAGCTGCTCACTCACCACCACCCCACCACACACACAGTGGGACAGGGGGGGAAAATAGGAAGAACAGAAGTGAAAAAATCTGTAGGTTGAGATAAAGACAGTTTAATACTTGAAGGAAAGGGGGGGAGGGCGGAAACAAGTGAAGCAAAAGACTCACTTGTGAAGCATCACTCACCACCTCCCACAGGCATATCTATGCCCAAAGTCTTGGAACAATAGCCACCTTGGAAGCAAAAAAACCCCAACCCAACCCTGTTCTTCTTCCTCTAATGCAGTTTTCATTCCTGAGCATAAGGTTATACAGTATGGAATATCTCTTTGGTCAGTTTGGGTCAGCTCCCAAACTCTTGCTCACCCACAGCCTACTCACTGAGGGGGGGCAGAGTGGGGAAAAAGAGAAAACCTTGACACTGTTCAAGCACTGTTCAGCAAAAGCCAAAACACTGGTATGTTATCAACACTGTTTTAGCCACAAATATAAAACACAGCACCATAGGGGCTGCTATGAAGAAAATCAACTCCATCCCAGCCAGACCCAGTACAACTGGTTACAATTCAACTTGTTTGTCCCTAAAAACTAGAAGTAAGTATTTGTCTTTCCAATTCATCTTAATGAGACATTTAGAGACTGGATTCTGTTTCTCATTCTCTTCTGCCGTATTACCAGGAAAACTTCTGAAAGGGACAGGGCAGCTGCTGGAGGATCCTGGTATATTTGTCCAACAATTGTTTCAGGAAAAGCTCTGGCTGTTGTTTACATTGTTTGCAGATATGGAAAGAAAAGAAGGGCCCCTCTTCTGGGTGTCATCTAAGGTATCACAAAATTTACAGCTCTTTGGCTCCCAGCAGACCAATTTAAGGTAGCCCAGCCAAGCAGCTGCTCTGTTCAGATGAAGGCTACCTCGGAGCTGAGACACACAGATGTCACTATGCTCAGTGCATTCAGGAAGAGCCACTTAAGTTTATCTGGGAAATCACTTACTTGATTTCAGTAATTGATGTGTTCACAACATTAGTGACAAGAATTGAGATACAGTTCAACAGGACTTGGGTAAGACCTCCTGAAGAAGCTTCCAGGTGCAAACCTTAAGCAGCGTGAAACTTCCATTGCTCCTCTTGAAACAGCTTCGGGATGACTGATGTGCACACCAGCTGATTTTCTGACTTCCTCTGCCAGCAGGGCCTGGGACCCTGATCCCATGGGACCTGTCTTAGGATGTCTGCCTCACTGCCCTCACTTCAGGCTCAGAGACATTAGTGCACCAGGCAACAGGCGGTGAGGTGTATCCCTGTCATTTCAAAGCCTTTACTGCAGTGGGCCCAGGACCCTGCGGCAGGAGATACTGATGCCTGACACAAGAGAGTGATGGCCGTTAGGACATGGCAGCTGGAGGTAAGCCCATGCAACCTTTCTGGCCTACAAGAGTAGGAAGACTGCCTGAAAGGACATGTACACTTCCAGCTCTGCTACTTCGAGGAGATGCGTGAGGCAGAATAGCTGATGCCATCTGGGCTTTCTGCGCTAGTCTTTGTTCCAAACTCTGACATCATGTCTGGGCCACAGAACCGGTCTGCCCAACATATTTGCTGGTCACTCAATGTGGAGGGAATGACCATGATAAGGCCACATAAATTATGAACAGCCCAACCGCAAGACAGAGCAGCCACAGCAAAAAAGCCCTGGGACAGTGAACTCTTCTAATTTTCTTAGAGAAGGTAAGTTGCCTCAAGGAAATCTGCTTCAAACATGAGGAGAAGCTTCTCATGATCATGATGGATAAGCAATGGAGTGGATTTCCTGTGGGAATGTGTCATCTCTGTCACCAGAGTTTTTAAGAATTGTTTAGAGGCATCTATCAGAAGTTTTAGGCAAAGTAGGTCTGCCAAGGAGTCTGACCAGTGTGCAGCAACTGCTTTATTCAAAGCATCCCCTACAACCTTTTAGAATATAATGCACAGGTTCTCTTTGTGCAAGGCTAAGCATTGGTTTTCCTTTGTGACCAAATAAAATTGAGGCTAAGCTCATGTTTAACCTTTCTAAGTTTGACTCCTTTTTTTAATTGCAGTGCTTCACAGTCTTTGTTCATATAATTTGCCCAATGGCCTAGCTACTAGTTGAGACACACCAAGCTATGCTACATGGCCCCTTTCAGGCTTCTATTCTATGAGAGATGGCCAATTACCCTGAAAAAAATGAATATTTTATCACTTAACTGCAAATATAGCAACAGAAAGAAACATCAGCCATGGGGGGAAACTGAAGCAGCTGCTGGGTTTGGCATGGTCCATGCACTGACTCCTCTGCCAGATACTGCAAAATTACCCACAGTGATATTATGTAAGAAGAGAATATTGCAGCATAGGAGGAGGGCTATGGAAGAAACCTCTCCACAGCAAAGTAGCAAGAAAGCAGCAACCTGGAAATGTGAAAATGCATACAAAATATTTTTGTTTACTACTCAATGGCTAGCGTACCCCCCTCCTGTCGTGTGGTTCTTCCTCTTCTCCCCCTGTTACAGGAGACCTAGGTAACATTAAGGAAAATCCTAGAAAACTCTTGAAATCCCCACAGTTTGTAGGGGTGGAGAGGGAGAAAGATCTCTTACCAATTTTTGCAGAACCTGCTCTCTTCTGTCATGATTTTTCTTTTTATTCTGCTGGATATCCTTTCTTCTAAGAGCAGAGAGGAAAAAAAAAACGAAACTGAAAGCCTCTGTTGCGGTAACTCCACCCCAAACAGCTGCTTAGCCAAAAATTCTTTAAAGGAGAAACAGCAGCATTGCCAGACAAGTATTAGTCTTTAGTGCGAGTTCCACATACAGATTAGTTTGCTAGTCCTTAGAGGAACTACGGGGTGTCAGTTTCCTTCTTTCCCAAATAAGTTTAATTTAAAGTAGCTGGTTTATGCAGCAGGCTGGGTTGCTGCCTGGAGCTGCCTGAAGCAGTTGGGGGCAGAGGTGTTCCTCTGTCCCACTGCAGCAGGGCTGGCTGACCTGGCTGGCCTCTACCCCCCAACACCCAGGCACATCAGGTTGGACGGGGCTCTGAGCAACTTGATCTAGTTGAAGATGTCCCTGCTCATTGCAGGGGGGGTTGGACTAGATGACCTTTAAAGGGTTTGACTAGATGACCTTTAAAGGTCCCTTCCAACCCAAACCATTCTATGATTCTATGATTCTATGTCCACAACCCACTGCAGACGCCTGCTGCCTGCTTGGACTAGATGACCTTTAAAGGTCCCTTCCAACCCAAACCTTTCTATGATTCTATGATTCTATGTCCACACTCTCCCACCCACTGCAGACGCCTGCTGAGGAGCCAAGTGAGCCTGTGGCTCCCTGAGGAGGGAGGCAGCAGGCTGTGGCAAGCTGTCCACCCGCCAGTGCCTCAGGGACATTAGAGGTAGCAGGACACCATCTTCGCCACTGCTTCCCCAAGAGGACTGCGGGGAGCCCTCCTGCCACCATCTCCCCTCCACGCCTGGAGTGGCAATGGCTGTGGGGAGCCCTCGGGCCCCATCACCCCTTCCTGCCCAGCACCTGTGCTGTGTGTTGTGCAGGTGTAGCACCAGCACCTGTCCACAGAGGAACCTGCAGGGAGCATGGCAGCCCTGCCTGTGAACTCACCTTTGATGGTATTTTACTGATAACCGTAACATTGCAGTCTACTAGGTTGCAGTCTGGGCAGGAGCCAGCAGAGAGGAAGAGGAAGCACCATGAAAAAAACCCTCAGGCACTGTGGTCCAAACCCAGGAATGCTGCCTTCGGGCAGCAGGCTCTGCTGGCAGCTGCCCTGCGCCCCACCACGGCTGGTGTCCACTTGGCCGCAGCCCTTGCCCGGCTCATGTCACCACAGCCACTGTTCTCTCAGCCCATCCAGGCTGACCAGCTGCAGGGGTGGTTTGCAGTGAGCAGGGAGGGCAGGGGTATGCTGCAGCCCCCTCCACCTCTGGAATGGTGGTCACGGTAGTATCCAGCCTCACAAACCCATCTTGGCCTCCCCAAGGCAATGCTGTCCCACTCAGACAAAAACAGCCAGCTAGTAGAGAGGAAATTGGCCCACCATCACCATGTGGGAGAAATCCAGCATTGATCCTCCAGTGTCACGTCACCAAGCCCAGCAATGTGGCTGCTCAGCCACGCCCAGGCTCCACTGTTTCCCCAGTGACCCTTGGACCACTTCAGGGTATCTAAGTATGTGCAAGGTGAAATCTCCAGCCTGCATTAACCAGCTTTGCCTTTTCTCCCTGGTCATATTCTGTCATGGTTGGGACTGACCGACAGCACTAGAGGCCCCAGGTGCAGCAGGTCCTGCCTGTCACTGGGCCTCAGCTGGGGGTCATACAGCTCTACATTTTACATAGGGAACTTTAGAAGAAATACAAGTTAAAGAGAAAAAGGAACAGAACTTCACATTTTTCATTTCAATGCCAACACCAGTATCTTCAGGATTTTCTGATGGAAGGCCTAGCATTTCTTGTACCTGCTACTACAGCTGATCCCTTCCAGCAGTATGACACAAGTGGCTCTTCTCTGATGTTGTAGACCCTGACGGTGTGGAACAATGAGATACAGGAGATGCAGAAAATATGAACTGACCTTCTTAGTCTGTAAAATGGGGAAAATAATATTAATTCTTCTTCTTTGCAGAGGTACTGGGAAGAATTATGCACTAGTATTTGCATAATGTATTGTAATGCCATACGCAACAGATGTCCCAGATGTTACTCAGAAAGTGGTGTGGTTCATTTCCCAGCCAAACAAGACCCCTCTGTCCCCCATTTTTCTCTGGGAAAAATAAAAGAAGAAGAAGGAAGCCCAATAAGCCATTATTTAGACGTGGGAATAATGAGTGTTTATCTGGATTTTGTAACGCAAATTATGTAATGAAGCAGAGAAAAGGCTTTTGAACAAATATGTTAATGAGATGGCAGCTAAGGGAGAGATTACAGAGTTGCCAATTCCGAATCAAATTTTTTAATGTGATTTTCTTTTGGGTTTTTTTTTCTTTTGTAGTCATTAGCCTGCACAGCATTTGAATGTGCTTTAGGGCTTCATGCAAGCTATACGGGAAATACCAATTCTAGGTCAAGAAAGCCTGATAGCAACACACACTGACTGAGAAAACCCCACTGACTCAAAATTCATAATGAGGGCTTTTATGTAGAAAGTTGTTGGGCACAGGGATTGTACTGAAAGGACTGTTCGTTCAGTGTCTCAAAAGCTTTTCTTGAAAAAATATCAGATGCTCCACTGGGAACTTATTTGAAAGATACTCCTAAAGCAACACAGTGGACTGGCAGTGGCTGGAAAGTACTGATTGGAAGGAAAACGGAAAGTAATGAAACAGTGATTTTCTCCAAATGCCGGTAATAACTTTCCATTTAAATTCTGTGTAAACCTTCCAGTGCGTAACATTATTGTACAAGACCTCTTCTAGGCATCTTTTTAAGTCAAGCATCACATAGAGGTAAGTTCTGAGCTGGTTGCTTTTTAAATGTGATTTTCAAAAGCCTGGGTGGAAGACACTTCTTTTTCTGCTAAGTCCTAGAATGTCTCAGGGTCAGTTGTTTTCATTTTTGTTTCTCAGTGTCAAGTATGATAGGTCTTACAGTCCTTGTTTAATATAATTTTGTTAAAACTTTTGTACCTCTGGGTGTTGCATGGAGCCTGCAACATGAAAGAACTTTAAAAAGAATGTGAGGAGATTTTTTGTCTTGAGAGGGAATAGCAGTTTTCTAGGTGAAATGGACTGCTTTTAAACAGGCAAACTGTACTTGTGTGCTTGGACAGCATTTGAATTAGAGGCAGAAAATATGTATATCTGTAATTAAAGGAATTAACTGCTACCTGTAAAGCCTCCTTGCCACAGACCGTTCCTACCCAGCAATAACAGCAGTAACTGGGAAGATTGGCTTGTAGTAAATAAGATATATCAGAAAAGCAGCTTCTTGGGAACGACCTAAACGACACTAAAATCTTTATTTTCCAATTTTTCCACCTGGACTGATGACCCTGGAATTCCTACCTTCCAAGAAGACTTGATTTCTAGTCCCTTTCTGCTAACCCAAACAATGCAGGTCAGCCTTTGTTAACTAGTCTTCAGCAGTGTCCCACTTCTGAGTGGAACTCTTTACAGTGGCTCACATCATTGAATCCAGTATCTGAAGTACAAAAGGGAAGATTGCAAGACTCTGTGTGTCATTTGACAACGCTGTCAAGCTCATCTATGAATTTGCTGTCTTGAAAGGTGCAGCTGTTCCTGTCCCAGCTGTTACTGTTCCCAGTCATAAGTGGCCCAGTCTCTTGAACTGGCTCTGGTACTCACTGAACACTTCATTGAACCTACTCAGCTCACTCACTCAGCAGAAAAATGTTCTGCTTTCTTTGTCAAGTTAAACTCCAATAAGCCCCAGAGCCACCAGCTGAGTAACGGCAAGCAAGTCAGGGCAGGTCAGTGGCAGCGAGCCATGAGGTGGGCTTGGCTCTGTTACTGCATCATACCCTTGGTTCTTGATATGCTTTAAAATACCTGTGTTTATTAGGGTAGAACAGCAGCAAATGGCAGCAGTGGTGTCTACTAACCAGGGAAAGGGATTCAGGTACAAGAGACCTGATTCAGCTCCTGGTTCCACTTCATGTCACCAGCCATGCCTAAGTCTCTTTGTAACACAAAGATTTGAGTTGCTTTGTAAACTGATTTGAAACTTACTACCAAGAAGAACAAGAGCAGCATATTATTCAACATTAGGGTATCAAAATTTAGGCCAAAGGCTGCTACAATCTCCTGCTTCTAAATGGTGTCTGCAACCAAAAGCTAATTTTACCTACTGCCTTTAAAGCAGTAAAGACCATGAAACCACACATCTCACATACATATTTGTAAATACTGCTCTGGTCTCTGCTATGTTCAGAGCAGTACTGACTGGAGGAAAGGATTCTTTTTTCTTGAAGGCCTGCAGTTAGTGCTCAATTAGCATGAGCTGAATTTCAGGCTGTGGGAGGTTTTTGTTTGAATGCTCTCTTTGAACCATCTAAAACTCCTCCTGCTGGAGGTTTTGCAAGCGCAACGGGCTCTCTGCAGCTTCCTTTTGCCTGGCTGTTAGACTAGTTCTGTAAAGCAAGCAGCCAAAGCTTTGTCCGCCTTCTCCTTGGCACAGTGAAGAGGAAGCTCATGGGCAAATTATGTGAAAGAGCTGCCATTCCTGTAGCACTCTCATATCCAGCCACTGCCAAATGTATCTGAGTTGTAAGCACAGATTGAGAGAGACAGGGAACAGCTGGAAGACTTGCCAAATCGAACATGCTTCTCTGCTTCTTTCTGTTGGTGCATGCTGATCCCTTAGAGAGCAGTGCCCACCCTTGGCCTGCATTGTAAACTGCTCTCTTCCCCCATTTCATCCAGTCATGCTCTCCCCTTCCTGCATCTTGACTATGCATTGCACAGCTTTTCCACCTCTTTATCTGAATGCAGGTGTCTTCTCTCTTGTCCTCACTCACTATTTTTCCTGCCCATGTTGTTGCTGTTTGCGATGGTATGTGAATGTTGTGTGGTTCTAACATCTGGATTCAGTCAACTTCTCGGCCTCCTGGTTCTTACCGTAGAGCATGAATTGACACATGTAAACCTCCAATGGTTTATAAAATAGTGATGGAGGTATCTTAAATATGAAGTGTGCAGTGGCAGGATGGCTTGAGCAA